TTTGCTGCTGGGTCGTTACACCGACCCCAGCTCGTTAGGGAGAAGGGCCGCTGAATATCAAGTGACGTTGGGGTCCGTTTTGGTGGGTCTGTTTCTGTAGGGTGTGCAGGAAATCCATGAGTGAGCTGGACGCCTTTTGCCTGCTTCCTTGGCCCATCGGTTTCCAGACCCAAGAGCCCCCGTGAGACGTGGCCGAGGCCAGCCAGGCTCAAGGTGTGTGCCCAGCACTCGCCCTGCCTCCGGCACTCTGCTGTCCCCTCCTCGACCTCCTGCAAACCCTGCCAGCCTCCTTAGAGCAGCCCGGTAGCTCTAGTCCCTGTGTCCCGGGGGCTAGGCCCAGGCAGATGTGAGACGACAGGAGGGTGACTGTGCCCTGGTGCCCGCTGCCAAGTCTGTGCCTGGGGCCCAGCCCTCACGGCACCGGGCTTTTCAGGGACGTCTGAAGGGCACACGCCCGTCATCCCCTCCCCTGACGCAGTTCCAGACACAGTGAATGACCCTGTAGGGGCCCTTCACCTCGGTAGGGCCGCTCCGAGGGGATCCCCCAAACCAGCCATCTGGGCAGCTGACCATCTGGATGCATTACTGGAAAACTCAGGCCTTGGAAAAACCTCAACTACAGGGACCATGGTGGCCAGATTAGTTCATTCAAGTGATGGTTTTAACACAACAATTAATATTTGATGATAATCAAGGGATCGAACCCAGGGATCAAACCCAGGTCTCCCGGACTCTTTACCAGCTGAGCCACAAGGGAAGCCCAAGAACAATGGACTGAGTAGCCTGTTCCTTCCCAGCAGATCTTCCCGACCCAGGAATCTCCCGCGTTGCAGGTGGATTCTTTTCCAACTGAGCTACCAGGGAAGCCCGATGCTAATTAATAGTATTGCTGTTTTAGCATGAGCAGTAACAAATCTGCATAACAAAGGTGTTCATGACCTTCTGGAAGGGTTCCCGGAATAATTGCGTGAGGCTCACCCTCACCTCTGAGTCCCTGAGTCTGCCTTCCCTGGACACTGGCTCACAGCATTGTCACAGACGCGTCTCCAGGTCATCCCCATGCTGGCTGGTCTGTCCTTTCCTCTTCTGCTTTGCCCAGAGCAGGGCTCTGCGGGGGGACCGTCTGCCTGCTGAAATGGCCAGAAGGAGCCCTTGTGGGCAGCTGTGGTGTCGGTGGGAACCACAGCTGTCTGTACCAAGAGACAGAACCGCTAATTTAGCATCTCCCGTGAGAAGATTCTAAGGGAGCAGGGTCTGAATTTTCACTTCTAAGTCACAGAGGTGGCCAGGACATGGCACAGTGCCCTGGGTGATGGATCGGGTGGAAGCACATGTGGGTCACAGCCACTCAGGAAGGTCTCCTGGGCCGGTGGCTGGCATAGGCCGCCGTCACTGTGACCGAAGCGTCGGGTGCCCGGCAGTCTGTCCCTCTGCCCACGGCCGCAGCGGCCCCTGCCAGCGTGAAGCTCTGATTCCCGGTGGGGATGAGCCCAGGGCCCAGGCGGCCGCAGTGGGTGGAGACGCCCCTGGGTGCTGTGAGCTGGGTGAACCGGTTCCGAGGGCATCTGGCACCCCGGGGATGCGGTTACCTCCCGGCGGGCTCTCTCTGCGCGGGCAGTGCCAGAGCAAGGTTATATAAAAAGCCTTTATGAGCTGGGGAAAGCGTGTGATTTGTCCTGGAAGAACATAAGCTCATTGTTCTCCCCCAGCCGCAGGTTGCTCTCAGCTCCATCGGTCTCCTGGGAATGTTCGCCACCTGCTCCCGCTTCCGCGGGCTTCGGGAGGAGGCTGCCAGACCACAGAGCTCTTGCCCTTGAGAGAGGAGAGAGAAAGTGGGGCTTTCCCGCCTTCCTGGGATCTCACCAAGAACCAGTTCTGGACAGGTTTCCTTGGCGTATTGACTCGTGTAGAATTCGTGATACACATATGTTTGTCAGTCAGAAGGGTTCAGCCATATTCAAGTGCAGACCTTCAACAACCCTGCCCGCCTCAGCTCCGCGCTCTTGGGTTCACAGACCTGAGACCTGCCGGGGAAACGGGGGGCAGACGCAGCCAGCGAGAGACCCCGGCAGACCTCCTGGTGGACACGGTGTCCAGGGCACAGGCTGAGTGACCGCGAGAAAGCGCGTAGCTGCTGACCCTGCCCTGGCAGCACTCTTTGTTGGCCTGACAGTCGTTTCTGTGCCTGCACCTTGCGTTTTGCTTTCTTTTGAAGACAGTGACACAAAAGCATTTAAGAAATCCTATCTCCACACACACACACACGCGCGCACACAGACCTGGGTTCAGCCACACACCCTGTGGCTCTCAGCAGCTGAGCAGGGTCAGGGCACAGCAGAGCGAAGAGCCGTCGAGTCAGGGGGCGCCCCCCGTCCCTGTAGCTGGACCCCAGACCCCAGGAATCAGCCTTTGCTGATGCTCCCCAGGAAGAGAGAAAGCCCCTGCTGTCTCATCTGCCTCCCCCAGAGAAAGCCCTCGTCATCTCCGCCACGTCCACCTTTGCCGCTGGAGGAGCAGCCGTGTGTCTGGCAGGCGGGGACGCGGGGCGGGCAGGGGCACCTACCTGGGGCCCCCTCCCTGGAAGCAGGACTCGGAGGCGGGCTCCTCTGGACGAAGGTGCTGACGGGGCCCGGCGTCCTGGCTCCAGGGCTGAGGTGCGCGCAACACACAGGGGCCACAAGTGTCTCGAGCGTCGTTCACCCGGTGTGAGCAGCCCCGCCAGGCTTCCAGAACCCTCGCCCGAGGCGGGCGTCTCCTCCTGAGGCTGACGCGTCTGGGGAGCAGACCCCGCACCCGTTTCTCTCGAGCGCCTTGTGTGTTTGAGGAGCCGAGCAGAAGCCTTCTGGATCTCTGCTCTGCTCGCAAACCCTGGGCCCCGCTCCCAAAATTGCCCAAGGATCTTTCCATCAGTTCAAAGGAAAAATATGCTATTTCAGACTCAGAACGTGTCTCTTTATAGCCATGCGATCGTCACGTCATGGAAGAAGCATGCAGCTCCTGGGGGCGGGGGTGCCTGACCATAACGGGCTTTTGGGGGGTGACTTTCCACTGAAGGAGCCCGAACATCAAACTTATTGGGCTGTGAACTTCTATTTGTGGGCTGACTCTAGCAGCATGTAGTTTGTTTTTTTTTTTTACCAGATTGAGAAAAATTAATCTTGCAGGAGAAGAAGGGGGCGACAAAGGATGAGATGGTTGGATGGCATCACCAACTTGATGGACATGAGTCTGAGCAAACTGTGGGAGATAGTGATGGACAGGGAAACCTGGTGTGCTGCAGTCCCTGGGGTCGCAGAGAGTCAGACACGATTGAGCGACTGAACAACAATAAATCTTGCTGGCGGTTATGCTGGTGTGTGTGCGTTGCTGTGTGCTGGTGTGTACACTGGCGTATGTATTGGTGTGTGTGTCTGTGTATGTTGGTGTGTGGTGTGTTCGTATGTAGGTGTGTGTTTTGGTGTGTGTGTGTTGGTGTATATGTGCTGTGTGTTGGTGTATGTTGGTATATGCGTATTGGTGTGCATGTTGATGTGTGTGTATATTGATGTGTGTCTGTGTGTGTGCCTGTGTGTGGGTGCTGGCCTATATGTGAGGGGAGGGACACTGGTGATCACAAGCAGCAGGAGCAGAGACTCGAGCCCTTCCTCTGCCCAGAGTCGGGCCGGCACGTCCCAGTCAGGCACCAGCCCTGAAGTGAGACCCACAGGTCGTGGGTCACCTGGATGGTGCAGTGGGGGTGACCTGGGACGTGCCATGACGAAGTGGTGGCTGGTGATGACTCAGCAAGCAACAGGTGTGGGCACACTTGTGGATTCAATTTTCAGAAGGAATTTCTCTGCTAATGACACATGCAAACTGACTTGGAGACTTGAGCCCATCTGGCAGCCGCGTGGAGTACAGCATGCCTGTGCTCCATCTGGAAGGTTCTGGAAAGTTCCGGCAGGTTCTGGCAGGTGCGCTCTGCGGCCACAGGTCCCGGAAGGGCCTTGCGTCTCCATTTCTCGGCCCAAGTCAGCAGTTGTTCCAGGACATCACGCGCTTGTGCCCTGAACTCAACCATGCGGTGCTCCTCTCGTGTGTCAGATTCACGCGGAATTGTGAGCGGGGATGGTTCCCTGTGTGGGGTGGCTCTGGGAGCAGCCGTGGGGAAGCCATCGTGAAGTCTACAGCCCTGCTGCTCCCGCAGGTCACTTCACCTCAGCTCACAGACCCCTTCCTGGGACTTAACCCTGCGAGTTAACCCAGGCAAGTTAACCCAGGTGAGCCGAGCCCGCTGCTGGGGATGTGGGGACCTTGCCCCTAGGCTGCGGACCACCGCCTTGCACGCGTGGGCAGAGGCCCGGCCCTCGGGGGCGGCCGAGTGTCCCAGCCACTTTAATCGGCTGCCCATGACCGTCTGCCAGATTCTTTGGGGCTGAAACCTCCTGTCTGCTGCTGGGCCGTGTCTGCCCAAAGGTAAACTTGGGAAGTTTCTGCCAGAACGATTAAGCCTTCCGTGAGTTGGTGAAAACAGATTCTTTATCTGAACTGTTTGGCTTCGGTTCACTGGGAATTCAGAATGTGACCCAGTCACTCAGAGGTGCTGTGTCCCTGCCCGTCTCTCACATTCACACACTTGCACGCCAGCCACCGACACACGCCGAGCACACACGCGCCCTCAGTCTGGCCGCTACAAACCCAGCTCTGCTGGCCTGGTTTATGTGCCAGGAGACTGTGGAGCATGCCAGTGAGCACTAGGCGGTTCCGGGGCACACACTCGCTGCTTCAGGCTCAGGATACGGGGTCTGCGCCAGGAGGTGAGTCTGGGGCGCCGCTGATGCAGCGGGGGCAGCTAGGCCCATCCGTCGTGATGGGAGACGTGGCCCCTGCCTGGCCCCCAAAGTTTGTTCTTCTGTCCGGGATGCTCTGAGCGGGGTCTCGCCCTGGTCCTGACCTGAAAAAGAGCCGCATCCGTGTGTCCTGGGCGGCAGCGGGAGTCCCGGGGCACGCGGGGAGGGGAGATGCTGTGGCTGGAGCAGAGGCCCGGGGCTGAGCTCACCCACCAGCTGGTTGTGACTTTGCTGCTGCCGGTCAGCAGCTCCGTCCCCTCCAGCCTTCTGGAGAAATGTCGGGCGGCCGGGCCTTGGTGAGCCCTGGTCCCGAGGGTGCCTGGCCAGGAGGCCTGTCCGCTTGCAGCTCTCTCCAGAAGGGCTCGGAGTGGCACGTCCACACTAACATTTCCCAGCTCGGACAAACCAAACTCTCAGATTTTCTATATTTAACATAGTGCCAGCAGAGTATTTTTTCATAAAATGAAAGCAGAAAGAGCTGTAAAGTCGCGGGCAGGGAGGGGGACAGATGGGGATTCAGGAAGATACCCCAGCTCGCTGAATCCCTGGGGGCTCCGGGCTGTGACGGGGGGGCGTCCACTCATAGGTGGCCCAGCCCTGGGCAAGGAGCAGGGCTGGGGACGCAGGGCGCTCGGCTCTGGGCCCATCCTGCTGGCTGAGCAGGGGCATGGGTCAACCGGCGGGGTCATGGGCGGGCTCCTCCCGGGGGCTCAGAAGGCCCTGCCTCCTGCAGCTCCTCCTCCATCTGCAACTCTGGGATGCGTGCGCCTCGTGGCAAGTGCCATTTTTTCTGACACGGCTTTAGGTGCTGGGGAGTTGTGGGGTCGTTGGGACAGGGCGGCCCCTGTTTACGTGTGGGGGATCCGCAGGGGCATCAGGACTGGGTGGCCCCCGTGCCCCCGTCCCCCCACCCCATCAGCTCCTGCGCAGCCCAGGCCGTCCTCCCGAAGGACACCTCTGCTCTGGTCCGCCTCACCCTGGGCAGGCGGCCTCTAGGGGAGGCGGTGGCTGTCCCCGGGCCTGGCCCCCTGCTTGCAGCCCAGGCCCTCGGGCCGCTCTCCCCTGAAGACAGGAAGGACCATGCTCGGCGTGTGTGGCATCCTGGCGTCAGCTGGCTCCAGGAGGTGGGGACGTGTTTCGTGTTGGTGTTTTGGAGGAGTCGCATGCGGGGTGGGGGACTTCTCCCCACCCGTCCCGAGAGGTAGCCAATGCGGCTGCTCCCCTGATCCTCTCGCATCCGTATTTGTTTAGGAATTCTCTGGAAAGGGGGCTGTGAGCGTCATGCATGGTGCCAGGCCCTGGGAGAAGCCAGGCTGTGTCCGCACACCAGAGCCCCAGGGAGCTGATGGAGCCTGCAGAGCCTACTCCACGCTTCCAGACCCCGGAGATGGAGGATGGTCAGGTCGTCCTCCGCAGCGGTTAGACTCACCAGGTGGGCAGCAGGCTCGTTGTTCGGCACAGTTTGAAGGAGGTGACTGAGGCCCAGGTGTTGCCTGGACCACATGTGGAAGAATCTTCAAACTGTTTCCCCAGCAGTTAGGAAATACTTATCTAAAAATCAGAAGACTTTCTTGAAGACATTTTCTGTTTTCTTTTACATGAATTTGTGTGTGTGTTTGAATAGGCGATCCTCAAGCATGGTTTAACTAGAACAAAGATGTAAAAAGCAGACACCAAGAAGCCTCTTTCCCGCCCAGGTCACTGACCTCCTTCCCCAACCCCAGCGACCGAGCAGAGGCTTCTACCCCTTGTGTGTCTGTCTACGGGAGGTTGTGCGTGCCGTGTCCGCCTGATATTTCACTGTAGAAATACGAACAGTTAAAACATATTCTTCTTTTTCTTCTTTTTAAGCCCCCGACACCATAGCATTAATCTCACTCCTTATCGTGTTCTGCTGACTTCTCCCCAGTGCCTGGGAGCATCTTCCAGAGGCACCTGGCATGCCCAGGTGGTTTAACCCCACACAGCGGTGCTGGTGGGGATGTCAGACGTCTGCTAGAACAAACAGCCTTTCAGCGATCCCCTTGGAAGCCTCGTTCTGTGTGTGCAGGAGTGTCCGCGGGCTGGGTGCCCAGACGTCAGGTGCTTAGGCCAGAGTCAGTGCCTGCGAGGGGTGTGGAGGCCCCGCCCTGCCGTCCCCACCCCCGTGTTCCCAAACTTGGGGGGTTTCCCAACAACATACACGAGGCTTGTTGACTCAGTGCAGTATTTTTTTAATTGCACTAGGTCTTCATTGCTTTGTGGGGGTTTTCTCTAGTTTTGGGCGTGGGGGGGGGTCTTCTTTTTTGTGGAGCTCGGGCTTCACTGTGGGGGCTTCTCTCGGTGCAGAGCAGGGGCTCCAGGCACCCGAGCTTCGCACGTTGTGGGGCGCAGCCTCAAGGAGCTGTGGCGCGCGGGCTTAGCTGCTCAGTGGCATGTGCAATCTTCCCAGACCTGGGATTGAATGCACATCCCCCACATTGGCAGGTGGATTCTTATCCACTGAGCCACCAGGGGAGCCCTCAGTGCAGTTTTAATTTAAATTTCTTTCAAAGAAGAGTGAATATTTTTTCATGATTTCTGTTTCTTGGTGAGTGTTTTTTTCCTTTGCCCACTTTCCCATCTGGGTATGGGACTTTTTCCTCATGATTTATGGAGGTTCTTTATGTACAAGGAAGACTCACCCTTGCCCAGGATATAAGTTACAGACAGTTTTTCCCAGTTTGTCATTTGTCTTTTGACTTTGTTTATCGTGTACTTTTTCCAGCTCTCTATTATGAATAAATAAACCGTCAGAAGCGTAGTGCTATGATCACCCGTGAGCGTGTGTGTTAGCCACTCAGTCGTGTCCAACTCTTTTCAACCCCATGGACTGTAACCCACCAGGCTCCTCTGTCCATGGGATTCTCCAGGCAAGAGTGCTGGAGTGGGTTGCCATTTCCTCCAGGGCATCTTCCCCACCCAGGGATCAAACATGGGTCTTCTATACTGCAGGCAGATTCTTTACCATCTGAGCCACCAGGGAAGCCCTGATGGATCAGACCATATCCCTCTGTATCCACCCCCGAAATTCAACAGTGGATAGCAGCTATCACCTCTGCCCTAGCTGTGTGTGTGTGCATGTGTGACTGTGCATGACTGTGTGCGTGTGTGAGACAGCACGTCAGCTTGGCCCTCCTGAAACGTGGACATTTTCTTACACAGTCATCGTATCCAAGAAAACTGACAATAATGCCCTCACCTTTCTGCTCAGAATTTTCTTGATTGTCTTTCCTTTTCTTCATACAGATTTTAGATTTACTTGTCTCATTCCAGAAACAGGCCCCTTTAAGAATCGAGATGTGTTTGTATTTGATTACATGGACTTGGAGCTGGCGTCTCTTGATGTGGAGTCTTCATATCAGACGCATAGTGTGCCCTTCCATTTAGCAACTCTTCCTCCGTGTTCTTCAGGAGCATCTTGAAGCTGTATTCTGAGGGGTAAGAGGAGAAGGCAGGCTCAGGACGAGGACAGACTCAGGGTCTGAAAGTCTGCATCCTTGATCTCTGACTCTGGCTTCTGTCCGCACTCCAGGCGGGGCGGCAGGTAGGCAGGGCTGAGGCAGTGGCCCCCACGGCCTCTCTTGAGATCCTGGGGGTCTGTGGGATGCACTGCCTTCCAGGACCCGTGGTGTCAAGGCTGGTCTGCAGGGTCGCTCGGGCCTCGAGGGGGGACTGCTGCACCATCTTTCTCCTCCCGGGCTGAAGCGGTGGATGAGGCAGGAGTGTCACTGCGGCAGAGAAGGCCTGGGTGGGAGCGGGCTCAGACCTGGCTCAGAGGCGGGGCCCGGCCCTGCGGCCCCCACTGACCTGGGCAGTGAATGAGGCAGGAGCGCCACTGCGGCCAGGAAGGCCTGGGCGGGAGGGGCTCAGAGGCATGGCCTGGCCGGGCGCCCACACTGACCCGGCCAGCTCTGCCTGACTCGCCCCTCCGTGGGACCGTCTCTGGGAGCAGCCGCGGCCTCTGGGGCTGTGGTTCTAAATACACTACTGGCTCTGGTGGAGAGCCCGGGTGTGGTCTGCAGCCCCAGTTCTGAGGAGGAAGGCACCTTCTCAGGGCCAGGGGGTCACTGTCCGTTGTGCTGGCCGCAGTGGACCCGGAGCCGCTGCGCTGACTCAGGGGGCTCCTCGTCGCTGCTGACCTGCCCCGTGGAGCTCCCCTCGCAGCCTATAACTCACTCTTCGGCTCTTTCCTGGAAGGCGTCCCATGTTCCCGAGGCTTCTCTGAACTTGGGGTGCTCCAGACAGTCTGCGGTCTCCTCTGGGGCTGTACGAAGGGCTGGGACCTGCAGAATAAAGAGGGCCTTGTCAGGCGCAGTGTTTGGTCTCTTTGTGCACAGCCAGGGCAGCATGAGGCCTTTAAAACCCTCTCTGTGACTCAGTGACCTCATCTGTTTATCAGCACCTTGCCGCTCAGCCGTGTGCCCAGGCCCTTCCCGGAACCTTTGCTTTCTCCGCGTCATCTCCCCATTGTTTCTCCATGCCGGTCCTGACAGCAGAAGTTAACAGCGATGCGGCCGCTCTCCCCTCCCCACCCTCTCACAGGATTCCCAGGTGAGGACAAGCTAACACGGGGCTCTCTGTGGTCGGGGAAGGTGCACTGCACACGCCCTCTGCCGTCGGGGGGCCCAGGCTGGCCTGCTGCATCTCCCTGGGAGCCAGAGAGGCTGAGTCTGACCTCGGGGCGGAGAGACGCCCCTCTCCCCTGTCATCCGGCAACAACTTCTCTCCCTTCCTTTCTGCCTTTTTCTTCCTGCACAGTCTCACCTTCTCCCCACCTCCTGCAAACTGAAGGTAAAACCATGGAGCCCTGCGGCAGGAAACCCCCAGGGCCTCCTTCAGGGCCCCGGCTCCGAGCCCCGGAAGCCCTGTGACTGGACCGCGGCCCAGGCGGCTGCGGGCAGACTGGACCAGACCCAGGCAGGACGCGCTTCCCCAGCCACCGGTCCGAACAGCTAATAAATGACCCATGGGTCTGGGTGTCAGCAAGAACTTGACGGGTGCCCCGCCCCGCCCCCCGCATGCCTCATCTTCAATTTATGAAGAGAGAGTTTGTGGGATTTTTCCTGTGCAGGCCACTGGGCTTAAATTCATCATAGCTCGCCTTGCCTTTGTGGAAAGAACCGTGGTCAGAATCTGACTAATTCATCAATGGATTTATGGCCTGTTCGGAGCCCACATGTGAAATGGAAAGAACCATGTTATTCAGTAACAACAGCAGGATTTATTTGGTATGAGATGGTTACCATAGAGGGATCTTTACGGATGAGATGAGGTTTTGGAAATGGTGGGATTTCAGACATGTGGCCATATTGTTTTTGGAGGCATGGCAGAATACCCCACTCAATTATCTGTTGTGCTTGGATGAATAATAAATTCCAGTGAAGAAATGCAGAAAACAGTGGTAGGTTTTCTTCCCGAAAACATGGTATTTTCAATCTTCCACTCCTCACAGCTCACCCACTTCCTCTTGTGTTTCCCTCTGTGAGTTGTTCAGAACCAGGAATTTCTATGTAAAATAATAAAACATAAATGAAGAGATGAGTCCCACTAATGGCTCTGAAAGTTGGGCTGTTCTGAGCCACATGGGGCTTCACCTCTGAAAGCTGTTCTCACTGCCGCATGTGGCATCCAGACCCCCGGCCCAGTCTGCTGGGGCTAAGTCCTGCTTTTCCACCCAGACTCACTGCCACTTCTTCTGGGGACATCTTGGCACTGATGGTACCCAAGGCCCTCCATCCCTTCCCGGATCCTTCTGACACTTTTCAGACAACACCGTGAGGACCACAGCTTGGAACAATACCATCAGACTTGGGGGCCTTTCTAAGTGCTTTGATGGCAAAACTCAGAGTCACAACCATTGATTCCTTTTCCTTTGACGCCTGCTTTCAGATATTATTCTTTATTTGGGACTTTGGACCCGTCCTCGGATCTTGCAAATACTGAACACTCTGGACACCAGAGAGGGTGATGGATTGAGATCCTCTGAGTGAGACCAGCGGCTAGTCACAAGAAATGCAGCCAAAGCAGCAGACTTGCTCCTAAATGACGTGTGGGAAACTCTTAGAGCGGAGGGTCTGAGTCCGAGGAGGAAGTCTGTAGAAATCGCTGGGCAGTCTGCAGATGCAAGCACTGATCTCAGCTCAGGACTTGGAGGCTGTGAACAGCCTTGTCCTAACTGTGCAATGTCGCTCTTGTGCAGAATGTCCCTGTTCCTGCTGGTGTCTTCAGCGCTCTGTCCTAGAAGGGACCCTAGGCTGGCAGACTGACCTTGAACACAGCATTTCAGACCATTTCCATGGCTTGGTTCCCTAAATCCCAGGCTGAGACCCTGCAGTGTGTGGAACATAACTGACATTAAAAGTGGGGTTTTCATTTCCATCCCCGCTGGAACCAGAAGTTCAGAGAAAACAAGGCAGGCAGATGGCTCTGACCTCGCCCAGAAATGGTATCTCCAAGCCCCGTGGAAACACACACTTCGCTTTACTCATCAAGACCGCTCCTTCCCATCGCGGGGAGCGCAGCCATGCCCCCCCACAGAACACCAGGCCCTGCCCACCAGGCCCTGCCCACCAGGCCCTGCCCAAACCCCAGGCCCTGCCCACCGCCCTGGAAGGGAGGTGCTGTCCTGTCCTGAGCAGGTGGAGCTCTGGGCGTGAAAGTGGCTTTGGAATGAGGCGTCTGGGTGGTTGTTTATGAAAGAGAACTCTCGGTGATCCTGGAATTGCTTCCTCCTTGAGAGCGAGCACCCAGGGACTGAAGCCCTGAGACTCGGCCTCTGGGACTGCGGGGGAGTCATTGTCAGGCTGTGCGGCCGGCGCTTCGCGGCTTTGGCGTCCTTCCTGATGGAGAGGCTCATCGCCCAAACCTCCCTGACTCCCAGGTAGAGACGCTGTCGCCTGTGAGAACAGGAGGCTCCTCCCCTGCGCTGAGCTGCTTGCGCCCCCAGGCTGGGGCTGGTGGGGCTGTCAGCTTCTAATGTTTTCTAGAAACCAGACGCACCATTGAATCTTTCCCTAGCACTGGGCGGCGTCTGCATGAGCCACGAGGTGACCCAGCACCGCCGGCTGACACAGGGCCTGGGGGTCTGATGATCCCAGCTTTGTTCTGTTACAGGAACCCAGCCTCCACTCCCACAGAGGGGAGAGAGCACGTGGGTGAGGGGTGGTCGTCGCCTGGACACACGGGCCAAGCCCAGGGCCTCCACGCAGCTGCAACCCGAGCGACTGGCGGAGCTGGTGCTGAGATAGACCTGGGGTGGGGCTGGGAGGAAGGACCTGTGACCCTCGACTCCCTCGAGGGACCACGGTGGGCACGTCCAGGTGCCCGAGGGGGGTCAACTCGAAGGTTGGAGTCGCCTGCCCCGTGTTTCCAGCAGCCCGGGGCCCCAGGGATGCCTTGCGGTGTCTTCCCACCAACGGGATGCCAGCCAGCTGTGGTGCTGGCCCCGAAGCTACTCGAGGCTGGGCAGGTCCAGTCCTGCCAGCCAGCTGTGGTGTTGGCCCCGAAGCTGCTCGAGGCTGGGCAGGTCCGGTCCTGCCAGCCAGCTGTGGTGCTGGCCCCGAAGCTTCTCGAGGCTGGGCAGGTCCGGTCCTCCCAGCCAGCTGTGGTGCTGGCCCCGAAGCTGCTCGAGGCTGGGCAGGTCCGGTCCTGCCCCCTCTGCCACAGGCACTGCCCTCTACAGCTGGTGAGGAATCTTCCGAACAGAACAGCAAACACGATCTGCTGACTGCCCTTCGGATGCAGGGCCCCACCACACCACAAAACAGTGAGCACCACCTGTTGGTCTGATGAAGCCCGTCACGCAGAGTGAGATGCTCGAGTATCGAGGCTGCGGCCCTCAGCCCATCACGGTGGCAGGAGGGGGCCAGGGTCACACCGCTGGGCCCGCCTCGTGCGAGGCCTATGGTGCATCGCTGGGAGTGGGCACTTGGGCCATGGTGGGTATGTGGTAACTCGCTTCAGTCATGTCTGACTCTGCAGCCCCATGGACTGCAGCCCACCAGGCTCCTCTGCCCATGGGATTCTCCAGGCAAGAGTACTGGAGTGGGTTGCCATTTCCTCCTCCAGGAATCTTCCCGACCCAGGGATAAACCCACGTCTTACGTTTCCGGCACTGGCAGGCAGGCTCTCTTACCACTAGTGCCAACCGGGCCATGGTGGGCAGACAGTCTGGTGAGGATTGTTCCACGTCTCCACCCCTGGTGGCTCAGCGGTAAAAAGAACCCACCTGCCAATGCAGGAGATGTGGGTTCGATCCCTGGGTCCGGAAGATCCCCTGGAGGAGGAAATGACAACTGACTCCAATATTCTTGTCTGGAGAATCCCATGGATAGAGGAGCCTGGCAGGCTACAGTCCATGGGATGGCAAAAGAGTCGGGCATGACTGAATGACTTAAAGCACCAACATCCACCTTCCCTGTGTGCCCTGGGCCTCAGGGAAGGCTGATGTCATCCTCAGCTCCAGGGAGTGGATTTGAGTGGTCTAAGGACCAGCTCCCTTTATTGCCACTGATCTGGTTAGTGGAGACACAGGCACTTCCATGGCTTGGGTAACGGATGGATCCTTGAGTTGCCTTTGCTTGTGGGAGGCCCATAGCTGGAAAGATTAGGAAATGACAAAGTTGTGAGGCCTTCTAATTCTGTTTCCTAAGTAGTGGCAGAAGCTGACTGTGTTTTTTCCCTCAAATAGCATCCATTATCAAGTTTTAAGTGGTCTGGCGATCTTGCTGTTGTTTTCTAACACGAGCATGATGTGTCCCAACAGCGGCGAAAGGCGCAGTGTCCCTGCGTGTGCTCGGGCCCAGGGGCTGGCCCCCCTGTGAAGGTGAATGAAGCCTCGCTGTAAGGTGGGGCATCAGACCCCCTCGGCAGCTCACGGCCGTAGATCAGGGCCCTGTGGGTGCTTGGCCTTCGTGGCAGTTCATGGCGACCACTGACAGTCTGCTCTCAGAACCGCACTGTGTACAGGACCGTGCCCTCGGCACACTGCTGAGTCAGCCCGGGGATGGTTGCTTCTCTCTGGCGTTACGGTTTCACTTCCTGCAACTCACGGCTTCAAGTTTTGTTCAAAACAACGTTAAATAAAAGCATGGAGGAATCATCTGTGGGTAGCTCACGTTTTCGAGGCTTGATCAGTCCTGATAACTGAAGAGACAACACACACATGGAGGAGCTAGCTACGGGTGCTCAGCCTGGGGCGGGCCCTCCTGGAAAGGCCGCGGGGGACGAGAGCCTGGAGGGGAATGCGGTCAGCGGGCGGGCGGTGCAGAGCCGGTGGGCGAGGCACTGGAGAGCCCCGAGAGCCGGAGCAGAAGCGTGCTTATTAGTGAGCGCGGCACCTTAGAAACCAGGGTGTGCTCAGGGCTGTGTGACGCTCTCTCTAAACTTACAGCAGCCTTTTAAGGGCGGTATTGCCATTCCTGTTGGCAAAGGAATAACCGAATTACAGACATCAGGCTCGAGGTCACCTAACTCGTAGGTGGGGGCACGTCCACAGGGTCTGTATGTCCTCTTTCCTTCAGACCATGTGAGATGCTACGGATTCGCCCAACAAAGACTTTCCCAGAAGAGGTCCTCCTTCTCAGTAGCTGTATGTTATGTAGTATTGAGATCACGGAATCTATTTGTTCTTTTTGAAAGGAAGGAAAATCACACAGCTGAACAACCTCAGGAGGGACAACGCTCAATCTCAGAAAGGGTCTAAATGGAACTACCAGTTACATGAGTTACGGGGGACACTTAAATGACACCACTGCCTGCAGTCAGCAAACTCACCACATGGACGGTGCTGCAAGGCAAAAACCCCGGTTTCTTCAACAAAGACAGGTCAAGGAAAAAGAAGGAGAAACTGTAGGTGGAAAAAGACCTGAGAGATGTATCAGCTGGACAACACGTGGACCTCAGACACTACTGAGCAGACGTGAATAGAGGCCCTGAGACAGTCAGAGAGATGGAGCACTGTCTGGGAGCGTGTCGGTGCTAGAGAAGTGCGCTCACATTTTTCTTTAGTTGTGATCATTATAGTGCAGATATTTCCCCCCCAAAACAGCTATATTATTAAATGCCATGGAAGTATTTTTATATGAAATGATATGCCTTGTTTTTACTTCAAAGTAATTGGAGGAAGTGGGTATTTGGTGGGAGTTAATAAAAATATTGAAAATTGAATTGAGTGAAGGGTACATTTTGTTTATATTTAATATATTTCCAATTAAAATCTGGAAAAAAATAGGGAAGTGATAGAGAGGACCTCGTCTGATTTTCCTATTGATACTTGAAGCGTCTCTGTGTGGCATCAGTTATAAAAAAAAATGCATCCGTTCCTTCTCCCATTCGCTTTAACCTCTTTTTTTTCTTCAATATTCAGTGCTTTTAAGGAAATGCTTATGATGAAGAAGGATCAGTTTAATTTTCTTGGAGGTACTGTCTTGGCTGGGGAAAATGTTTTTATTATATGGCATGGCAAAGCTCAAATATTTCAAATGTAAAATAAAGTAGCTCTTTTTTTATTTGCAGGGGAAGTTTAAATATTTCATGATATATTAGACTTGACCTAAAAGTAAATGCTGTAAAGTGATTATGAATTAAGTAGATAGGCAGTCTGAATTTGTAAGTATATTATAGAGCTCCTTAAAGGAAATGCAGTGTAGAGACGTCTCCAGTGTGAGCTGAATGTTAAAAATTCATGGTCTGCATGTTGGTGGTGTTTGGCTTTGTAATCATTATTCGGATTTTGCATGTCAGAGCACTGCTTGCATCTGGGTCTGGTGGGAGAGTAATGTGGCCAAGCGGGTGAGCAGGGCCATTACTAAAGGCAGGGGTATGGCTGAGCACGGGCTGGCACAGCAGGCCTGGGCTGTCCTGGGCAGCTTCACCAAGGGCAGGTTAGCGGCCCCTCAGCCTTCGGGTGCTCAGGGCACACGGGGGGTGACTGGCCTGCCTCCCAGGACTGCGTGGGGTCCCACGTGACGAGGCAGGCCTGGCATGGAGGGTGAGCCCTGCAAGTACCCGCACTTTTGGCTAATTCCTGGGACCCCCGTGTGCAGAGAAACGATCTCGCAGGCTCCGGGGACGGACACAAGGGACGATTGTCACCCTGGTTCGTCCCCTGGTTGAAAAGGACGTGACTTATGCCCACACTGCTGTCCTGTCTCTTGCGCAGAGAGAACCCACGACCACATGGTCTCAGCAGCGGGCAGCCACTTCTGAGGGCCCGTGGAAGGAGCCTTTTCTTTAAAACAATGCTCTGCGCGTTTCAGGGAAACTGCTGTCTCTGAAGACGAAGAGAAGGAGGGTTCCAGAGGGGCGTCTTTGCACATTTTCGGAAGCATTAAGACACTTTCAAGAACACATGTACTTTCATAACATGCAACATGCAAAATATGAGTTTAACACATGTTGGTTACCAAATTTTGTTTTTTAATTAAAAGGACAAGTTTTTTGGTTTTTTTTTTAAAGACAATTCAGAAACACATATCTGAATCTTTACCTTTACGGGAACCTAACAGCTGGGTGTAGCTCCAGCTGTCTGATGTGACATTTGCATAACATGGCCTGTACCTTTTAGAGCTTTTTCAGGAATCGCCTTTTTTCTTAAAGATGGAGTTGCAGGAGTGGAAGCCATTATTTTCCTTGGCACACACCCTTTGTTTCCACCACATCTTGCAAGAGCAGACGCCTTGGGACGGTGGTGGATTTCTCGATGCCAGGTTGATAAGCCTCATCGGCTTGTCCTTGTCATGGGGACCTCCCTGGGCATTACCAAGCCAGGGTGCTTGAGAGACTCTACTTCTCAGTGGTTAGCACATCACAGATGGGAAGTAATAGAAGTGCTGAGAATGTCCAAAATGTCTTTTTGTGATTTTTGGAAATATTTAAATTCTTTTAATATCTAGTTGATCCTGGTGAGACAAACATTTCATACGTGTATGAACAAAAAGGCGTGTACTACAATCTGCTCATCAAAGGAAAGAATAATTAAAGTAGGAACAGGTTAGTGTCCCCTGCAAGGAAGACAACCTTCCAATTAAGGAATCTCTACAGATTAAGTTTAGTTCCAAATCCCAAACATTGGCTTGGTGGCACTTCATTACCTCTTGAGTTGCTAGAGAAAGTGTTAGTTTTATTATTCAAAGACTATTGAGCTTTGAAAAGGACCAGTAAACACTTAGGATTAACTAACCAGCTTGCTTTGCATTTTTCTTTAGTACTGTAAAATATATCAAAATGTAGATGGCATTGTTAATGTCAGCTATTATCTCTTTTTAAGGCTTTACATGGGTTATGGTTCCTTTTAGTTGTTTTTTAGATTTTTATTGGGATATACTTGCTTTGCAGTGTTGTGTTGGTCTCTGCTGAGCCGCGATGTGGGGCGGCCGTGTGTATACATCCGTGTGTATACGTCCGCCCCCTCCCTCTCCCCCCGCCCCAGGTTGTCACAGGCACAGAACTCAGCCCTCTGTGCTTCATGAAGCAGCCTCCCAGAACTCAGCCTCCCACGAGCTACTTCATGCACGGCAGTGTGTCTGTGTCCACCCTCATCTCCCGGTTTGTCCCACCCTCCCCGTCCCCTGTGTCCACAAGTCCTTTCTATGTCTGTGTCTCTATTCCTGCCCTGCAAATGGGTTCACGTGTACTGTTTTCTTAGATCCCACATATTTGTGTTAATATACGATATTTGTTTCTCTTTCTAACTCACTTCTCATTTTCACAATTGCTGGTCCCACTGCCAAAGCCCAACGATGTGGTTAATTGAGGGGTCATGACACCACTTCTGAGTCAGGCAATTACAAGTTAAAAGGAACAAGGCGCTGACTTTGGAAATCACAGTCAAAGAGAAGAACAATTCATGAGTCTTAAGTTGTCTCTGATGGATTTGTTGGCATGCTCTCTCTCCGTTTAGTTTTCCTTTGCAAGTTTCTCTTTAGGACTGTTGGCGACTT